AATGATGATGATGATGCTGCTGCTGATGATGATGATGCTGATGATGCTGATGATGATGATGATGATGATGATGATGATGATGATGATGATGATGATGATGATGATGATGATGATGATGATGATGATGCTACTGCTGCTGCTGATGAGGCTGCTGCTGCTGATGCTGATGCTGGTGCTGATGCTGATGCTGATGCTGCTGATGCTGCTGATGATGATGGTGGTGGTGATGAGGAGGAGCAGGAGGAGGAGGAGGAGGAGGTGGTGAAGGAGGAGGACGAGGAAGAGGAGTCAGGGGAGGATAAGGAGGAGAGGAGAAGCAGGAGGAGCAGGAGGAGGAGAAGGAGGAGGAGGGGAATGATGATGAGGAGGAGGAAGAGGAGGATGAAGAGGACGAGGAGGAGGAGGAAAAGGAGGAGGAGGAGGCTAGGTAAGCCCGAAGGAGGTTTTCGACCGATAGGCTTGCTCCCAACCCCCGTCAGAGTTTTCTCGAAGTTAGATCGACCTGAGATCCGTGCGTGGGAGGCTTCGGTCAAGCGGCCCTACAGGTACGGGATTTCGGGTAGAAGTTGCGAGAGAGCGGTGTGGGAGCAGAGCCTAGTGGTCGAGCAGCACATCAGTGCAGGAGGCTGCTCGGCATGTGGGCTCGTGGACTTGACCAAGGCATACGAGAAGGTGAACCATTACCTTCTCGCTCGGGCGGCAGTCAAGCATAGATATAATCTGATTCGTCTTCGTTTGAAGCTGTCCTTGTATCGCGGCAAGCGGATCATCAGCATTCTAGGAGTGTGCGCGTTAGTGGCAGAAGTTGACCAGGGTATTCTTGCAGGCTGCGGTGAAGCGACCAGTTTGCTCAGCTGCCTTTTGCTGGACCCCTTGGATTCGACTTGCGAGCACTTTGGCAGCGTAGGCATATACAACGTCGTCGACGATATCACATTGCAGTCGTCTGGTCACTCGTCGCAGGTGGAAGTCAGGTTGCCGAGGGCGATCTTTTACTTGTGCACGCTGCTCGAGCGGCTACTGTTAGTGATTTCACAGTCCAAGGGCCTCGTGCTGCGCACCCACGCGAGCACGCGGCAGGTCATTGTCAGAAAGCTTCGGAAGTGGAACTTCGAGGGGGCGCTTTCGGGAAGGAATCTGGGATGTGACCAAACGATGGCTGCCAAGGGGACCCGTGGGTCCAAGGTGTTACAAGCCAGGCTGAGGCGCCTCAAGGGGCGCAGAGGAAGGATCCGCGGGCTCAGGAGCTCTAGGAAGGGATTGATGCGGGTGGCCCGTTCTGGGGGACTTGCTGCTACTACATATGGAGCGAGAGTGAACGGGGTGGCCACCACGAAGCTTCAGCAGATAAGGAGTGCGGTAGGAGCGGCTGTGTTTGGGACTCCCAAGGGCAGGAGCAGGACTCTGGAGTTTCTTCTCAGCGAGGAGCCCAAGGGGGACCCAGCTTTCGACTCGAACCTTTTGCCGCTCCTCATGTGGGGCCAGGCGGTCAGGAACAAGTGGGTGGAGCCCAAGGCGATGCAGCAGAGTTTCCAGTTTTTCAGGAACAAGCAGGATTTCGACTGGAGCCAGGTGCGAGGTCCTGCAGGTGCGGTCGTCTTGACCCTTAGGCGGATAGGCTTGGAACCGAGGGCCTGGAACCTGTTCGTCACCAACTCGGGGTTAGAGATTGACTTGGAGTATCTTGGAGGGCGTTCTCTGAAGATGGTTCTGGAGAGGTTTGTTCGGGAGCACCTCGTCAGAAGCCTTGGGGATGGTCGCGTGGAAGGCCTCGACGAAGGGCCGCTGCTGGAACCAGTCATCGAAGTGCTCAGGGACCTCAGGGTTAAGGGCAGGTGGCAGGCGGCGGCGGGTCTCGCGGGCGTGGTCGCAGGCGGGTATCAGACTCAGGATAAGCTGTACCAGGACAGGCGAGTTTTGGACAATAAGTGTATGCTGTGCAAGGAATGGAGGCGCTCCACACGAGGGCGCTCTTTCCGAGTGTCGAGTGGGCTTGGCCCACACCGTACCAGCAGGCAGGATTTCGGTGGGACGTGGTGCCGCCGAACGGGGTGCTCGACAAAAGAGTGTGTCTCGACGGATCAGGGTATGACCAAGATCAGCCTTCCCTGGCCCGCGCGGGGTGGGCGGTGGTCACTGTCACGGCGAGCGGGCACATCATAGGCTCGGCGTACGGGCCCCTGCCGCACGTCGTGCAGCTCGCGGGGGCGGGGGAGGTGTACGCCTTCCTCATGGCGTTGCGGTTGGCGGGCCCGCAAGGGCTTGATGTGATCACTGATTGCAAGATGGTGGAAGATATATGGGGGTTCGGGCCAGAGCAGAACTTAGAGGACGTAGCATATTCGGAGCTTTGGAGGGAAATATTTCAGTTGGCAGAGGTTCTCGGACGCGATCTGCTTTCGGTACGTAGGGTTAGGTCTCACCTCTCCCTCGGTCAGGCCCGTAGGCAAGGGGTGAGTGAGTGGGAGTGGAGAGGCAACAAGCGGGCCGACGAGCTCGCCAAGCTTGGGGCCCAGGCTCATCCCACTAACCCCCTTGTCAAGGCTCAGCTTAAACATAGCTTCAGCTTAGTCAAACAGTCGGCCTGGTTGATCGCCGAGGTCATGAACGACCTCGCGGTAAAGGATTTCCCAGACGTGGCGAGGGTTCGCAGGCCTCGACGGCCCAAGCCACAAGTTCTGCAGTTGATTCCCGAGCCCAATGTGCATTTAATTGAGAAGTCTGGCAAGCAGTACAGGTGTGCGACGTGCGGCGAGAGGGGCCGCTCGAGGGCACACATTGCTTTGACGCCTTGCGGCGGTCCGCCGAGGGTTGCGAGGACGGCGCACTGGAGCCACAGGCTCTGGCTGGGTGGGGGTCGGGTGGCCTGGTGCACGCGTTGCGGCGCTTTTGGGTCCGCTCGGTCTCGGCTCCTGGGGACTCGGTGTGAAGGAGGTCCTCGCAACCGTGATGCCGCTAATGGTCTCAGAATGCTCAGGAATGGAGTGGACCCCAGCTCGAAGACGAGCTTCGGGAGGTCTGTTCCGCTCAGATGGCAGGTTCAGACGGGTTGGTCGTCCGCCCCCGCCTGAACTCATCTTTCAACACTTGCCCTTTGTACTGTTTTTGGGCTGCCTTATCGCTCAGCGGTAACGGACAGCTAATGAGCCAATAGGAGCCAATAGGAGGAGGAGGAGGAGGAGGAGGAGGAGGGGGAGAGAGGAGAGGAGGAGGAGAAGGAGAGGAGGAAGAAGAGGATGAGGAGAGGAGGTGGAGGGGGTGGAGGAGGAGGAGGAAGAGGAGGAGGTGGAGGGGGTGGAGAAGGAGGAGCAGGAGGAGGAGGAGGGGGGAGGAGGAGGAGGAGGGGAAGGATGAGGATGAGAAGGAGGAGGAGGAGAGGAGGAGGAGGAAGAGGCGGAGGAGGAGGAGGAGGAGAGGAAGAGGAGGAGGAGAGCAGGAGGAGGAGCAGGAGGAGGAGAGGAAGAGAAGGAGAGGAGGAGGAGGAGGAGGAGGAGGAGGAGGAAGTGGTGGAGGAGGAGGACGAGGAAGGAGAGTCAGAGGAGGATGAGGAGGACGAGGAGGAAGCAGGAGGAGAGGAGGAGGAGGAGGAGGAGGGGAATGATGATGATGATGATGATGAGGAGGAGGAGGAGGAAGAGGACGAGGAGGAGGTGGAGGAAAAGGAGGAGGAGGAGGAGGAGGAGGAGGAGGAGGAGGAGGAGGGGAAGCAGGAGGGGAGAGGAGGAGGAGGAGGAGGAAGAGGAGGAGGAGGGAGGGGGAAGTGGAGGAGGAGGAGGAGGAGGAGGAGGAGGAGGAAGAGGAGGATGAGGAGGCGGAGGAAGAAGAGGAAGAGGAAGAAGAGGATGAGGAGGAGGAGGTGGAGGGGGTGGAGGAGGAGGAGGAGGAGGAGAGGAGGAGGAGGTGGAGGGGGTGGAGAAGGAGGAGCAGGAGGAGGAGGAGGAGGAGCAGGAGGAGGAGGAGGGGAAGGATGAGGAGGAAGAGGAGGAGGAAGGGGAGGAGGAGGGAGGAGGAGGAGGAGGAGGAGGAGGAGAGGAAGAGGAGGAGGAGGAGGAGGAGGAAGCAGCAGGAGGAGGAGGAGGAGGAGGAGAGGAAGAGGAAGAGGAGGAGAAAGAGGAGGAGGAGGAGGAGGAGGAGGAGGAGGAGGAGGAGGAGGAGGAGGAGGAGGAGGAGGAGGAGGAGGAGCGCGCGGGGCACCATTGTTAAAGCGACGGCACCATAGAGTGGCTGGGCATGAGAGGGCGGCAGCCCTCGGCCGCTCCGGGTGCCACCGCCGAGGGCGGGCGCCCGCCCGCGGGTGGCACGCGTTCCCTGAGAATTCTCGAGGCCATCGCGAGAGCAAGACTGGGCAGGGCTGAACATGGACGGTATTTTTCGTTTGCGTTCCGTCTTCGCTGTCCCTCGCCCTCGTCTCGAATCCGCCCTCTGCCGCAGAACGAGGTCGAAACGACGACGGCCCACGAAGTCACCAGAAACACCGTTTAGGTCCAGCCCGAGACTGGATTCAAAGGCTACAAGGGCTACAGTCGGACCTAGGCCAGAAGAACACTCCTCAAGAGCATGAGAACCTCCGTCGGCCAAACAGGCAGAAAAGCCAGGGGTACCCTCCCCAGGATGCACAAGAACGTCCAACAAGCACTCAGAACATTAGGGCACCCTCCCCGAATCGATCTCGATCTTATACCTCGGTGCGCCTGTACTGGCCCTTGACATTCGGCCAATAACGCAGGGGATTGCCTGGTATGCCGACGCCGCCGCCGCCGACGACGACGCGTATGCCGACGACGAGGGCGAAGAAGACGACGATGACGCACCGCAGGAGGACCCAGCAGGGCGGGGGAGAGGAACAAGGACAAGGACGAGTGGCCCCACGCAGGCGCGCATGTCGACCTTCTCGGCACACGCTCGTGACCGTGGCGAGCGAGACCCCGACGCAAGCAAGCGCGCGCTCGCTGGGAAGCGCCAGCCGCCAGGGCCCTCCCGCGCGGGCAGGTGCTGGCGGCGGTCTCCTTGCCGACGCTGGACTGCGCGTCGTCCACCACATGGCAGGTCACCTCCGGGCGACAAGTGGGGGACAACAAGATTCGGCATGGAGGAAGCGGGTCCTGAAGGAAACGGGTCCCAAGAATCTTCGCCGTTTTCGGAAGGCATGAACGATTCTTGCCCCGGTGCTGGTGCCGGTGCCGGTGCCGGTGCCGGTGCCGGTGCTGGTGCCGGTGCCGGTGCCGGTGCTGGTGCCGGTGCTGGTGCTGGTGGCCGGTAGCCGGTGCTGGTGCCAGTGCAGGGGCTGGTGCCGGTGCCGGTGCTGGTGCCGGTGGCCGGTGCTGGTGCGGGTTCTTGTTTTCCCAGAACATCCTCTCCTTCTCCCTCCCGCCTCCCGCCTCCCAACAGTGCCCCTCCCGCCCCTCCAGGGAGGCCCCGCCTGAGCGAGGAGGGTATCGGAAACCCATACTATTTACATGGTTTCGTGCCCTTCCCACCTCTCCAGGGAGGCCCCGCCTAAGCGAGGAGGGTATCCCACCCCTCCAGCAGGGAGGCCCCGCCTGACTGAGCGAGGAGGGTATCGGAAACCCATACTATTTACATGGTTTCGTGCCCCTCCCACCCCTCCAGGGAGGCCCCGTCTGAGCGAGGAGGGTATCGGAAACCCATACTATTTACATGGTTTCGTGCCCCTCCCTCCCCTCCAGGGAGGCCCCGCCTGAGCGAGGAGGGAATCGGGAACCCGTACTATTTACATGGTTTCGTGACCTTCCCACCTCTCCATGGAGGCCCTGCCTGAGCGAGGAGGGTATCGAAAACCCATGCTATTTACATGGTTTCGTGCCCCTCCCACCCCTCCAGGGAGGCCCCGCCTGAGCGAGGAGGGTATCGGAAACCCATGCTATTTACATGGTTTCGTGCCCCTACCACTCCAGGGAGGCCCCGTCTGAGCGAGGAGGGTATCGGAAACCCATACTATTTAAATGGTTTCGTGCCCCTCCCACTGACATGGGTGAGGAGGAGGGGAGAGAATTACCTATCCATCTCACGTCCTACTCCTCCCATTGAGGAGGGTGAGGAGGAGGGGGAGTTCTGCGATGAGGGAGGCTTCATGATGATGATGGTGATGACGATGGTTAAACTGCTGTTCACGATGACGATGACGATGGCGATCACGGTGATGGACGATGACGATGGCGATAACGGTGATTATGATGATGCTGATGATGATGACGATGAGGATGATGATGACGATGACGATGATGACAACGATGGCGACGACGACGAGGATGATGATGCAGATGCTGGTGATGATGACGATGCTGCTGCTGATGCTATCGTTTATGGTGCTGCTGATGATGATGATGACGACGATGATGCTGATGATCATGACGTCCACGATGATGCGGACGATGATGATGCCAAGGACGGTGATGGTGTTGATGATGACGATGCTGATGATTATGATGATGATGACGAAGGCGGCGACGATGATGATGATGACGATGACGCTGGCGATGATGATGATGCTGATGATGATGAGGATGATGATCATAGTTATGATGATGCCGATGATGCTGACGATGAGGATGATGATGTTGATGACAACGACGACGGGGTGACGACGATGTTGCTGATGATGCTGATGATGACGACGATGATGCTGGTGATGACGACGATGATGCTGGTGATGCTGGTGAGGATGATGAGGATGAGGATGATGATGATGATGACGATGATGAAGATGATGATGATGATGATGAAGATGAGGATGATGATGATGATGAGGATGATGATGATGCTGCTCATGATGATGCTGATGATGATGATGATGAGGATGATGATGATGATGATCATGATGAGGATGATGATGATGATGAGGATGATGATGATGATGATCATGATGATGATGATGATGCCGAGAATGAGGAGGACGAGAAGGAGGAGGAGGATTCGCTTGAACGAGGAGGGTCGCGGACAGCATTACTCTTGACCAGGTTTCGTAAGCTTCCCCCCTTCCAGCGGGGCCCCGCCAGAGCGAAGAGGGTATCAACAACCCGTACTATTTACAAGGCTTCGTTTCCTGAGCACCTGTCCTCCCTCCTCCTTTCTTTCGTCTGCCCTTTCGTGCGTACTTGCTCGTTCGATGAGCTTCTCCTTCGTGTTGATGTTGTCGTACCCCATGGGTCCCACGAAACCGTTAATATTTTTAATGCGGGGAACTGCGTTTGCATAATTTTACCATTGATTGGACTGCAATCGATTCCACTGGGTTTGCACTTGATTGGCTTGCAACCGATTGGATTGCAACCGCTGGGGGGCGCACAGGGCAGCGGCGAGGAGGCGGCGACGGGACAGTGACGGCGACGAGCAAGGAACCGCCAGACCGACCCTCAGGCCAAGACGACGGGCGGCGACGACGCAGCAAGGGGGGGCGACGGCAACGACGGAAAAACTAGACCGCCCCTCAAGCCCAGACGACGACGGGCGGCGACAGGGCGGCAACGGCGAGGAGGAGAGAGCCGCCAGACCGCCCCTCAGACGACCCAGCTAATACTAGGAAGGGAGAGAGAACGCCCCCTAAGTGCAAGCACTGTTTGGGAAATGTCCTGATGTCCAATGTCAATGATGTTCTTTATCCAGTGCCAGTGTTGGCGCCGGCGCCGGTGCCGGTGCCGGTGCCAGTGCCAGGGCTGGTGCCGGTGCGGTTGCGGGTGCGGGTGCCAGTGCCGGTGCTGGCGCCGGCGACGGCGCCGGCGCTGGTGCCCGTGCCGGTGCTGGTGCCAATGCCGTCGGCGCAAGCGCCGGTGCCGGTGCCGGTGCCCGTGCCGGTGCCGGTGCCGGTGCCGGTGCTGGTGCCGGTGCCGGTGCCTGTGCCGGTGCCGGTGCCGGTGCCGGTGTCGGTGCCGGTGCCCGTGCCGGTGCCGGTGCCGGTGCCGGTGCCGGTGCCGGTGCCGGTGCCGGTGCCGGTGCCGGTGCCGGTACGTGCCGGTGCCGGCGCCAGTGCCGGTGCCGATGCCGGTGCCGGTGCCGGTGCCGGTGCCGGTGCCGGTGCCGGTGCCGGTGCCGGTGGGCGAGAATCGTTCTATGTGGTTTTCGGGCCCTCGGAGCCCTTGACGGGCCCCAGGGCGGTCAGAAACCGCCCCGGGATGAAGAGCTCGCCCTGGGGGAAGGCCCCAGGGTCCCGGTGTCCGGGACTCGTTCCCCTCAGGACTCGTTGCCCCCCTGCTGATCCTCTCCTCCGCCAGCCGCCTCCGCCCCGCCTCCGCCTGGTTCCTGCCCCTCCCTCCCTCCCTCCATCCATCCTCTTCCTCCTCCTCCTCCTCCTCTTTCTCCTCCTCCTCCTCCTCCTCCTCCTCCTCCTCCTCCTCCTCCTCCTCCTCCTCGCTTCTCCATGCTGAGAGGTACCGATGCAGCTGCGACCATCGTGCTGCCACAGCGGCGCCGAGGAAGGAGCGGAGGAGGAGAGAGCGCTCCGACGGCCACCGCGGGCCTCTCGGCCACGGGCGGGCTCTGCGCGACCTCTGTACCAAGGGCTCCCAACTCCGCGCTGCGCGCTGCGCGAAGCGCGCACAGTGCGAATCATTTCGCGCTCTCGCGCCGCCTCCCAGGGGAGAAGTGGAGGGCGAGGAGGAATCGGAGCCGAACCGCCAGGCGCGAAGGCCTTCGCGCCCCCGAAGGGGCGCCCTCCGCACAGGCCGCGGGGACGTCCCGCGGAGACCGCATGCCCACGCGGAGCCCCGAGGGTGTCCTGAAGGTCGGCGTCTTGGCCGCTGCTCCCCGGAGCTCTCTCCCGGCGCCTGCTCTGACCGAGGCTTCTCGAAGCAGGCGGATCCAGCCGCGGCGGCAGGGCCGGGACACGGGAGGACACGGGAGTGCTGCGTGCTGGCTCAGGAGGCGCACGGTCGACACGAACACGTAGTAAAAATCAGCCGACCCGTCGGAGTGTGTGAGACGCTGTCGTCGTCGTCGTCGTCGTCGTCGTCGTCGTCGTCATCCCCAAGGAAGTGGAGAAGCGAGGAGAAAAAAGGTCGTAACCAAGTCGATTGCCTGCCCTTTTTCTCTTCCATGACGGGGGGGGTACGGGGGGGTCGCTCCACTCCCTGGCTATCTTCGGGTGGGAGAGGTAAGTAGCATTCACGTTCAGCAGTTGCAATGAGGGAGGAGGAGGAGGAGGAGGAGGAGGAGGAGGAGGAGGAGGAGGAGGAGGAGGGGAGGAGGAGGGAGGAGGGAGGAGGGAGGAGGGAGGAGGGAGGAGGTGAGGAGGTGAGGGAGGGAGGAGGTAAAAGGAAGGAGGAGGAAGGAGATGAAGGAGAGAAGAGAGAGGAGGGAGGAGGAGCATAATGACCAATGTAAATCCAGAACGCATCAACCAAAAATTACAATAAACCGTCCCTGTTGGTTACTTCTTCATAAGTACCTATCTGGATTTCCCCACATCCTGAGTGGGTTTCTTGTTCCTCTGGAACAACCATTCTACGACTACGACTACGACTACGACTACGACTACGCCTACGCCTACGACTACGACTACGACTACGACTACTACTACTACTACTACTACTACTACTACTACTACTACTACTACTACTACTACTACTACTACTACTACTACTACTACTACTACTACTACTACTACTACTACTACTACTACTACTACTACTACTACTACTACTACTACTACTACTACTACTACTACTACTACTACTACTACTACTACTACTACTACTACTACTACTACTACTATACTATTACTACTACTACTACTACTACTACTACTACTACTACTACTACTACTA